AAATAACAACTTTAGAGAACAAACCTGAACACCCCTTCATACATTCTCACTGAACTGCCATTCTACCTTGTTAAACTTGTCAACGTCAGGAAGGTTTTGTCAGTGCCTGACATACAGGTCTCCATCCACGACGATTCCTCCGGCCACTGAACAATCGAGAGTAATGTAGTGCCGAATTCGGATGGAGCGACTCCACTTCCTCCGAATCCTTTCTGCAAATACAGCGCGTCGCAGATCGTTTAGGGCCCGGGATGATCGGCGCTGGGTCTGTAAAATAGACTAGCATATACATCTCTGCTTCACAAGACTCGTGCATTTTGAACAGGAAGTGTGCTAAAGAGTGCTGTTGCGAGAAAGGGACATCTTCTACATGTTATCTTATCCAATAGAGAAAACTATCTATTTTTTGTCCATTTTAGAATTGTCCCAACCCGAACTGCATACTCTGCTTTAATGGTGCAGCTTCAACGTGACTGAACGTCCGGTATACAGCTTTATTTTAAGCATCGTTTTGATAGTCGTTTCTCATGGCCCTCTTAATCATGTTTTTATCGGCTTTGTAAGGTCTCCAAATCTGTGATAAAAAAATCGGCAAAAATATCAGAAAACGGTTTAATCATCAGGGTTAGGGTGGATTAAAGGGTGATAAAATGACTCGTGATAAAACGAAAATTTTGGTGAGACCAAAAAGTCGTCTCATCAAAAATCTCGTTTGGTGAGCTTTAATTGTCTTTTATTACACCCCTCATCTGGCAACCAATTAAAATGTCTTTTGATTTCACCATAGGTTCATAACGTACCCTAAAGTAGAGATCTTTTAGGCAGCTTGAAAGTTCGAAGATCTTTAAAGGTCGAACGCGCGAAAGTGCACGCGAAATTTGAAACTACTCACTTTGGAATCTGCTTTCCTTCCTACACGTTGACAGCGCAAGCCTTCAAGGTGGGTTCCGTTTGTGCTGTTGTTAGTGTGTACTTCATTACAATGACATTTGTACGCTATGTTTGCAGAAATTTACATGACCCCCTCGCAAGATCAATTCATTCGCTCGTGCGTTGTTGCGTTCATGTTGCTTGATTTATAGCATCGGATACCGGGCTTCATTAACTCCCTTTCATGTCGTAGACCTTACATCGGTCCGAGAACAAAACGAGCCCGATCTTGACTCCTGTTTTTGAGCGGGCAGCTTCCAACCCGAGCGATCGCGGTTTAAAACGCCAGAAGACTTTACGCCCTCAAGCTGCTGCCGCCGCTCCAGGGCCACAGGGTCCTGAAACTACGTCCGGTTCTGAAGAAGTGCTCCCCCCGCCATTCCCATTGCTTCGATCGGGGCGCTCGTGCGCACACCCTCTCGTTATTGAAGCTGCTACCATCCAAGTTTCTTCTTTGACGGAGTTTCGTCTTGAACGAGGCGAGGAAACTAGACGTACTACGCCGCGACCGCCCCAGCCCGATTGTATACTGGGATAGTGTAAGAGAGAGAGAAGCGATCTAAGAGTCGCTCAAATGACGCCCTAGTAAGAGATACACCATGCTAGTTAGACAAACCTGCTCTGTAAGCGGGTTTAACATGCCTGGAGAGACTTGTGATAGTAAGCAGGTTCTTCTCCAGGCCCTTCCTCCCACGTCCATCCAGTCGGAACTCTCCGGGTCTTTCAGACCCTCTGTAGTGATGTAGTGCCTGGTACGCGTCAAGCGCTTCCATTCCAAGCGCAGAATCTCCGCGCGAATGCGCCTACGTATGTTCTCGATCTTGGCGCCTACTTGACGCCGCTTCTATGACTGCATGCACAGCACGACTAGCACATCCTCTGCGTCCATGGCGCTTTTTTTGGGGGCAGACACCAGCAAATGTTGCAGGGAAGGGGGTTGTCTGGAGATTTGAAGATCTCGGCATCCAAAACTTCGAGATCCGGGAGGAAATTTTGTCCATTTTTGAAATGTCTCGGACAGTTCTTCATACTGAAGATTAGTACTTTGCACCGTTTGGGTCGGTTAACATCGGACGGATTAAACATTTTTGTGAGTATGTTTTTGCACATTCCGTTTAGATCCGTTGCATGCCTGATAAAAGGATGTATGAAACTTTTTCGATTAAACCGCTTTTTGTGGGTTTTGGAAGACACCCATTGGGCGCCTTCCATATCCATCTTCGGATTTTTTGGTCGAAATTTTTATCACGGATTTAGACATCTCAAACAGACAAAATAGCATTAATACATGTCTAAATGCAGTCGACACACAAAAAGTCTGTGCGCCACACAGATAAGAAGGGGGGGGGATCGGGCAGAGAGATACAGGGAGAGGGCGTGTAACATACGGTACGCCGATCCATCCCGCCGCCCAGCCATTGACTGATACGGTCAGTGACAGCCAGCCCCACCTTCCAGCTTCCTCACAAATCAATTTTGCGGGGGCCAGAGCACATAGTTCAAGTATGAAGGCGCGGCATGCCACGGCCGCTGCACGGCTGGCTCGGCGGCGCCACCACCACATACAACGGACACTACATGCAGCGACAACTCGATGGACACTGCGAGCGGCAACTCAAAGGACAGTGCGCATCATCAATGGCTACGACGTGTGGGCCCGTTGCTGCAGGGCTTGTGCGGGGCGAGTTGATGGGATAGACCCTGTACCGCTCTAGCTGATGGCTGCGTGGATATGGTAAAGCAGTTGTATCAGGCAAGGTTACCAAGATTTAGGGTCCGACTATCTCTTAAATGGTATTAGCTTTAAGCCACTATTGTGCTTCTCATAATTGCTTAGTCTTCCT